ATGTATATTCTAACATTTTTCTAAGGGGTCAGTTTTTCCCAGGTTGGCCCCCAGCCTTGAACCTAAATCCTGCCTCGTCTTCCCAGTAGCTAATTACAAGTGTGCATACCACTTCACAGGCATTCGCCATTGCTAAGATAGCTGTCTCATCGTAGCATGTTTTTGTTTACCATTTACCTCCAATTAATTACATACCCTTGTTCCCAGGTGTGAAAATTCACTGCATTGACCACTTCTTTGTTCAGCATATAATAGGACTTTATGCCCATCGCTGCACTCTGCTTTCTTGTACTGAAAAACGTACTGAGCTCTCCACAGAATTATCTAACTACGCTGGGTGATACTTGCATAGTAATCAGCTTTAGCTCCTGTTTACTACTGACAAGTGTTAGATCTACTATGCTGCTTTCCTAGTATTTATCAGAAATACCTAAAGATGCATTTATCAGTATAATTCATACAAAAGTATTAACCTGACAGATTTCCACCTTCTTGCATCTATTTTAAGAAATCTGGGCTGGGGAGATGGCTCAGTAGAATAAGTGCTTGCCTGGCAAGCACAAGGGCCTGAGTTCAATACCTGGTTCTGCCAAAAAAAAAAAAAAAAAAAAAAATCTGAAGAGAGAAACAAATGCATGAAGGCGTTGGGTGTTACCTTTATGGAGGGAAAGCTCCACCTTTTATCAAGAATAATAGGTATTACACTGAGGAAACAAGACATGAGCAGTAAACAACTTATGAGCTTCTGAAGGGTGCTGGAAGAAAAATCGGCACAAATCCAGCTTCTTTATAGAGTCATTTTTTTCTAATTCCATTTATTTACGAAAGGTCTAACTATGTAACTAAGATTCTTTACATCAGGTAAACAATATACAAATGTGAAAAATTTGGTAATTACAAACATGGAAAATCAAAACCTTTCTTCCTTACTCACCTTTCAGGACAGCACTCAGTTCAGTTGTAGAGGTGGATAAGACTAACACCAAAAATGTTTGCAGGCAGGACCAAAAACATTTATAAACAATGCACTTAAGATAATGCAAGTAACAACAGAATAGCATCAAGAAATGGCTTGGTTTGGGCGTAAATAGGGGGTGTTAGGGGTGGTTAGCTAGCTTTTCCCAAACAGAGACATCAGGTTCACTCAGGGTAAACTATTAACAGTCAATTACCCCACTGCCAGCAGTGAATGTGGTGGCCTGGAACCAGACAGTCAACTCAGTCTTTATGAAGCAACCTTAAGAAAACTATGATTTTTAAAGAACTGAGGCCATGTAAAGAGGATAGAAGGTTAAATGTGTAAGTAATCAGAGCAAATGTCTTTTTCTTTCCACCTCACCTTTAAATAGCTCAAGTACAGCACCTGCACAGTAACATCACCCTTAATTTAAAAATACCCCCAAATGATTAGTTTTAACCTTAGAACTCATTCTATGCTCTCATTAAGAAGTTTTTAGACACTTCTGAATAACAGTTAAGACAGAATCATTGTATATCATTTTAGGCATACCTCAATTATGACTAGATTTGTGGGTTCCTGTTTTTATTGCAACGATGTGTTTTAGCCCTTTAATACAAGTGGGTGTCATGAATGGTGGATGAGTGCATGGATCAGTATTTTACAGTTATTCATTAAGTGCCTGCTATGTGCCAGGCACTGTCCTAATTCACAAGCCAAATACACAGCAGTAAATGAAACAGACAAATCCCTGCCATGGAATGTACAGGACTACCATTTAAATGAAAACATTTAAAAAATGCTTCAAGAACAGGTAAGAATAAGGAACATAATTAAACTGATCTGTGCCCTTCCAGGACAGAATGAAAAGCGTCTTTAGAAGACAGTTCCACTAATGTTACTTTGCTTTCATTAATGTAAAATGAGTTCAACTTAACCTAAAGAATAAACTATAGTTGAATTAAAATCTGGTAGTAACATACATCCCCAAAGGAAAAACAGTCTCAGATCTAGGGAAGTAATGTATTTTGCTTCATTTTCATTTCTAAAAGAAAGTTTTAAAAAATGTTCTGTAGCTTCTAATTTACATTTAAATTATACACTTAAATACTCTATAAACTTAAAGGCATTAATCAGCACTCTTCCTAAGTACTTAAGTCCTATATGAATGTAAAGAATATTCTCTTACACATAATTCAAGTTTTTTTTTTTTTTTTTTAAAGATAGTAGGGTCTAGCTATGTATAGTACTCCAGGCTGGGCTTGAACTTGC